ATCGAGGGTCATAAGGTCTCTTTCCTTGGCTTCAACCTCTTTTTGTGCTCTTGTGATTTGTGACTTGATTTGGGTTTGATTGTTTTATGATTCAGTAACTCTTTAAATAATATTCTTATCAGAGAATTATAACTAACAGACATAAAATCAATCAAGTTTTTCTTGGAAGATAAAATTCACTTGCTCTCCTTAATTTTTCTGTGAATCGAGTTTAAGTTTTAACTTCTCTGAAAAAGCAGAGGTGCATGAATTGATTTTAACGAGAAATTTATCTAAGTTCTGAATCTGGCTTTGATTGTTGTGTCTTGGCAATTTGCACAAAGTTTACTGCAATAAGAAAAATTAATAGCTTGCACTGAGATCAATGGACACATATCTAATCCAGTTGACCTGTCATTCTCATTCTCTTTTATATGCTTAATATACTTTCATCTCTCGAGGAGTGGCTGTGGATATAATTAGTGACCTGATGAACTGTTACCGTTGTGTGGATGCTTTGGTTTCAAGTACAGTTTAACCAGATGAGTTTTTGACAAGCTTGGAAGAAAAAGAGGGGACGTAAAGCTGGTTTTTGGCATTATTACTTCTTCAACTCGTTTTCTTACTATTCCTCCTCTTCCTCTCTTCCTCTTCCTCTCCTCTTGCTTGAGTCTTCTGGGGTAACTTTTTGAAATGTCCCTAACTTTATAAAGTGCTTTAGGAAAATGTTTATTTGGAAACTTGTGCTTGCTAAATTTTACTATCCCAGCTTTTTAGGTACTATTATTATATTGTCATGTCAGTTTTAGTCTCGTTATTGTTCTGGATTAGATCCGTTGTTTTATTTCTTGAGCATATTTCTATGCGAGAGAGACCTCTTCAATCCTCACCTGTATGTGGACAGTGGAAGTATTTATTACCAACTTTAGAAAATGTAAATCACAGTTGATGGAATCCAAGCTGGCATGTCAAGTCTTATTCCCTGGTTATCTAAGATTATCACAATCATTGGTTTTTCGAGAATAATCAACAGTTGGAGATCATGTATTATACTTGCTGTCTATATAATGGGACCATTTGAAAACCAAATCTGCTAAAAAAGAGCACAGATTTGCTATTTGATTATACTGCAAGTACAAGGTAAAGAAGGGGGAAAGAAAGTAATAACTGTAGAAAAAAGTATCACCAAAGTCATGATCACCTAGGAAAGATAAGAAGGTAATATCATGGAAAGGAAAATCTTAAGAGTATAGAGAATATTACATCAGTGCATTTGGATGTGGAATTTATGTTACTGGAAGATTAGGGCTTTTTTGTATGTTGCATTTGGATTTGCCAAGTGACACAATTCTTGATCCAAAAATAAGCTTGATGATTCTAATTAATTTTAAGGTTTGTTATATACTTATTTGATTTTGTCAAAAATTTTAACAGTGTCTAAATAGTACACGTTATTATCTGAAGTGTATTTTGTCACTCTAGAAGAATCAGATCCGTTGAATTAACATAGATATGTTTTACCCTTATTGTTGAATTCTCAACTCTCAATTTCATGAATTTTGTTTGAATACTAACTTTTTGACCAATCTACATGTCCAGGAAAACAAGGGGGAAGCAATTATTTTATTAAAGCCCATTTTTTATAATGATATCTGACTTGTGTTCCTTAGTTTTGGAGTTGCTTCATGCGCTTTTCCTATCTTTTTTTCATTTTTGTGTAACTTCTATGACTTGGAGAATGTTCTGACGTCTGCTAATTTTCATGGTTATTCATGTGACAATCAGAGGAATAGATGATTGTTAGATGAATGGGAATGGAGTGATGGTTTATTCTATTGTGTTTATTGTGTGGGAGTTAGGTCTGTATAAATAGGTTAGTAATAGAATAAAAGCTTATCTTGGATCCCATAAATAATAGTTAGGTCAATCAATATTGGTAGTTAATGAACTCAGAAGGGATCAGTTTTTGTACACCAGCACTGTAAACAATATTACACTATCAACTAATAAGAAATAGTTGTTGGTACAAATTTTAAGGTAATTCTCAAAGCTACCTTCTGAAACAGTTTATAACTAAAGTTGCATAAGCTATTTATTCTTCATAAATTGTGTAATATTATCTTCAAATAGTATTAGCCACGCCCTCTCATCTCTTCCTTTTCTTTACCATCAAGTTTAGTTGATAGAAGATGATAATGGAACTTTGATTTTATGTTGGCGTAGCAAGTTTCTGATAATTATGATATTATGAAACATGTGCATCCAGGAACCTTTTGTGAACATCCCAGAGGACACAATCCGTGAAGCGCTGAAAGTTGTCCTTGGTATGATATATAGCTATTTAATGTTATTAATCATAATTCTTCTGTATAGTTTCAGCAATTCATTTTAGCAGCAATAACTTTTGGTGGTCAATAATGCAGATGTCAGGAATCACCCAGTTATAATTCACTGTAAGCGGGGAAAGGTGAGATCTTTTCTGGATTTTTTTCCCCACTTTTGTAATATCTACACATAAGAGTTTTTAAAAAGTATTCAAACTGTTCCTTTTTTCTGTGTGCAGCACCGAACGGGTTGTTTGGTAGGATGCTATAGAAAATTGCAGAAGTGGTGCTTGTCATCTGTGTTTGATGAGTATCAGCGCTTTGCAGCTGCGAAAGCAAGAGTTTCAGATCAGAGGTTTGTAGAGTTGTTTGATATTTCCAGCATGAAACATTTGCCTATAACCTTTTCATGTCTGAAGAGGTAACAGACCGAGTTATGTATGCTGAGTTGGGTTTACTTTCTTTTGTTGGTGAAAGTGAACTCCATGTTCTTCCATTAAATAAATAGGAAAAGGTGATGAACTCCTTCAATGCATTGCAGCGGCAAAGGATAATTCTTCTTCTTCCATTCTTAAAATAAGATAAGAAAATCGTAGGCATACTAGATCATTACCTACCCATATATGTATGTGTTATTATATATCCTTCTTCCATACTTGGCCCTTCGTGTACCTCACCAGTCACTCACTACCTTTTATTATTTTCTTTCTCTTTGCTTTATGTTCCTTTTTGCTGCTCTACTATTCATCAACAATGAGTGTAGATATATGTCTTGATTTTTTCTTGAGACTCGGAGAAATTCAAGAAGGCCACAACAATGCCTTGTTTGTCTGCCTAGAATCTTGATGGATAGTAAAAGCAGAGAAATTATTGTAATCTTGCTTTCCTTATTGAGTTGAGATAGTTCAGTTCTGTGTGTGGTGGTTATTCTTGCACTAGTTGCATGCTGCTGCTGAGAAACTGTTTTTAATTCTATCATACAATTTTTTTTTCTTCTAAATATACATAATTTTTAGATTTTGATCGGGTCTTATTCATTTAATGTCTACTATAGTGATAGAAAGATGAACATTTTCTGCACGAGAATATTATGAAACGTTAGATGATAAACTTTTTAACGAATGTATGCTAATGGGAGGTGTCAAAATAGCAATAAAAGAAGGGAACTAAATATTTTTCTTAATTTTTTTTATAGTGGAACATGCTTCTTTTGAAATAGAAGTTTAAGAAGAAAATGATGAATAATAATGTTTCAAGTGATATTGTAACACGTAATTTGGATCGATTCGACATGTTATATTACCTTAATCTTTACAAATGTTTTCTTCCCACATGTTATTATAATGTTTTTGATTTCTAAATATATTTGTGCGTTATATTAACATCGTAAAAGTGAGCCTCCAATTTTTACCAGCTCTAATAAGAGAGTTTTGTGCAAAGACAAAATAATCACCAACAGTTAATATCTTCAACCCAATTTTTTCCTTTGTTTGAATTACATTTTTTTCCCTTCTACCATTTAAATGTATTTTTAGCTATTTCCCTGACGTTGTAAGTATTATTATTTTTCATCAATAGTTATATATATATATATATATATATATATATATGTATGTATGTATACACACACGAAAATCTATTAATAAACTTGAATGATAAGTTGGACATGTGCATGCTATTATTAGAAGGATGAGTTATTTTAATAAATGAAATTTTAAATATTATTCTTGTTATATTCGTCGGTCTCTCTCCTGAAAAACAAAATAGTTTCGTTCTAATGCAATTTAGTCTTAAAATAAATTTACACCTACATGATACAATATATTGATTATAATATTATTATTACCATTTAACAAAGTTAAGATATTACTATATTCACGTAAATTATTAACACAATCCAATGTGTTAAATGTAATGTCAATAAAAATATTAAAAAGGCTTTGCCTGGACTCTTATCAACATTAAATTCTAAAGATAAAATAAAACTGTTTATCATATGTTTTAAGTCCATGTGTGTGAATTCTCTACATATATATGTACAATTTCTTTATGGCCAATGAACTTATTTTGTTTGTTGGTATGTAATATGTTTATAGTTTGGAGTGAAGGAAGGATAGCTGCAATGTGAATGTTTCTTTATGGCCATCTTGAGCTCACACTGTCACATATCTATGGCTGAACTCAAGCTACCACTGTGAAGGATAGTTTTTCTATTGGGCTGCACACACAAAATATGGACCTCAGTTTTTTTTTTTTATATAAAAATATTCCTTTTTCTTTAGGCCCTCTAACACCTTGGGTGGTAGGGTACAATTTGCAACTTTCTTTCTATATTCAGGAACATCAATAAAGTACACTTTCACCCTCCTAAACCATGTCATTTTTAGCTTATTTTACCTAGATTAATGAAAGAACTTCAAGCTTTTTGATAAATCAAGGTTAATGAATATCTAATCAAGGACCTATTTTATGATTAGCCAGCCACAGGGATTTAAATTGTCAAGCAATGTATTTAGCTCTCCAGTTGCTTAGTTAGGGAGTAACAGTTAAGTTTTACAGTGGTGTTCAAAATTCTCATTTCAATGTTGACCTCAAATATCAATAAATTTGTGAGATAATAGTCTTAATCATCAATTCTCCAAACTGGTATTCTATATTTCTCTGCTTTAATTGACATGATTGATGTATTTATCATTGATTGATATGGTTGGTGCATTTGTCATTGATGGTTATCATTAGTTAAGTTTTAAAAGAAAAGAAAAATAGTTGCAACAATAAATTACAAACAGTGTTATATTATGTTTATAAATTATTTAGCAAATAATATCTTTTCGGTTCATATCATATTAATATTATTTGGAAGGTTGACACACACATATATATAATGTTGTGATCCAAGATTTAAGTAGCTATGCATGGTCCGCAAAGCTTTTATTGTTATGGTTTGGACATGACCTTAGAACATCTTTGATGGGTATAGTAGTCATAGTTTGTACTAGATGAATCATTGATGTAGTGTTTATTTAGATCCATTCCTTTTAAGTTCATTTTAATATTGTTTCAATTTTACAATTAATCATTTTTTCTTGGAATAGATTAATTTAATTTCTTCTTTTATTTTGTATTTTAAGTTTATTAGCTTCTTAATAAGGAATGCTTTGTTTAAAGAAATTTTTAACTTAAGCAAATGGTTGAATATTTTTTATAAGTTGTAAATGAGAGCTTCACCTAATACTTGATAGTAAACAGATTGATATATTTGTTGTTTGATTATGTCAATAATTTTACATTCAAATAATTTATTTTATCTACCATACCATTGCAACTCAACAATATTTAATTATAGTTGACAAATGTATTTTTTTTATGCATATATGAACTTTACGATGTTCATAACATTGCTCAAACAAATGGAACTAACATACAAGATTACATGAGATCCAAAAACATGTTTGGTTTAGAATAGAGACTCTATAATCAAGTTTTTTTTTTATTTCTAAAAATAGAGCAATTATCAACTTCTTTACAAACGTTGAATTTAATCAGTCTAATAATTAAATTACATTATATTATAATGACGAAGTATCATTAATCATTAAGTGACAACTTTTACAAATTTAATATATTTTATCATAATGTTATCAAAGGTGTCATTTGTCCATGACACTCGAAGTGGATAACATCTTTATATTCAAATTGATCTAAGAAATAAAAAAAAAAGTTATTCATTAAAGAGAATATGGTCCCCAATAATAATTTACATCCTTGATTATAACTGTACCAAAGAAGTGATTCATGCATATTATATAGAATAGTGGAAGTGGTCCAAATCAACACCCAAATTGTGAGGACAAAATAAGAAATTAGATGCAAAATGGACCACTTTTGTATCTAACAGACTGTATTTGAGCAAATGCGAGGTAGACTCTATGGCCCAAAAAAAGAACAGATAATTGTGGGTGGGCCCAAACCCATTCAACTGTGGACAGGTCAAAGTGTGTTAAGGTTTATGAATACTAAACCTTTTACAAAGGTTGCTTTGTATGAGTGATGAATAATTATCTCTAACCATAGAGATAAGGATAACATGATCAAGTTTGTGAGGTTCAACCAAAATCAAATCGTATGAACTAAGAATCAAAATAGAAGTCACTTTAACAAATTAGAAAAAATAGTTTCATGGCCATGGATTAAAGTTTGTATCATTATATGATATGTGTTTGCTTTTTGAAAAATTGTATAGATATTTTTTAAATTGTAATTTGAATATATATACACTTTGAACTAGTATGAGTTTTATATGAGATGTGATATTTGATGTTGCGTTAGTTTGTTTATTTCATCATGTATTTTAATATTTGAAAATTCTTTTTCAACAACTTAAATCCAATCAAATCCAACCTAAAAAAAATAAAAATAAATGGATAGGGTTGGATTTGATCACAAGATCATCAAACCTGCCGGGTGATAAGATTAACCAACAAGCCGAATGAATTGACCAAGGAATTAATTTTTCCTTCAAAGTTGGTTTAATTCAATTTGTGAATAATTCTATGCATAGAGTATACATTTTCAATAAAAATAAAATAAGAAATTATATATTTCTTAACTTTTTTACATAATTTTTTGGATTAACAATCTTACATTATTTAAGAGTTGAAGTTAAGAATAATTTATGTACACTTCATTTTCTTAATTATTTGAATTGTTTTTTTAAAAATAAAATTATAACAATCCGAACATCAAAGTAAATAATACCACAACTTTAAACTCAGAACATTAGCATTATTTATATTAAGGAATTTGTTTCAGTATATCCAATACTAGTAAATATATCATGGTTAGTAAAAATTGTGATATGTTTATAAGTCAAAGAATGATAGATAATATGTGTCTGAGTTCAAATTATATACTGAACTATTCGTCTTGAAATAATTATTTAAAAGGTTATGTAAAAGATGGATTTCATGGGTTGATTGTAACTTTTTTACAATGTGAGCATATGCGTTAAACTAAAAAATAAAAGACAAAGTGAATAATGCAATATAAAGATAATTGATAAAAGGAAGACCGACAAAATAATAAAATACACTATTACTAAAAAGATTTAAAAAAAGTATAAGGTTATTTGTAGAAGTAATGTATTTATGGAAAAATTCTATCAACCTTTTGAAGAAAAAATAATAAAATATATGAAAAGATGTTAAGGAGTTTGTCCTTACATGCATCATTATCAAAAGTTATTTTAATTTTTGTTGGGTTGTGTCTTTTAAATGGCGGAAAGAGTGGTTTCACACTACAGAAAGATACTCAGCACAAAGCAATGAAGCAAAACTTAGAAACCATGAAAATACTTCCTTCACCTTGTTGACTTGAATGGATTTGGGAGAGTAATTGAGAAGATTTGATAAAATTTGAAGATAAATATTTTTGTTGTTTATTTGAGTGAATTTGAAGGTAAATGAAAGTGAATTTGGAAGTAAATTTTTTAATCTATCACGTCAATCAAATCCTACACTAATTCTCACAAACTATACTTTCAAATTCATTCTCACGTCAATCAAATCCTACACTAATTCTCACAAACTATACTTTCAAATTCATTCTCAGTTACCTTCAAATTCACTCAAATAAATAACAAAAAAATTTATTTTCAAATCTACTCAAATTTTCTCAATTATTTTCCCCAAATCTATTCAAAGAAGAACTTAAATATTCACATAGTTAGATCTTAGAAGTATAAAAATGTATGCATGCTATTGTTACGTGTTTGAGTATCTATGTCTGTTTTGGCTGAGACATATTTTTGGTAACTTTTGATTTGTGCAAATAAGAGGTTTCACTTGGTTTCTGCTTTTCGAGTGTATACTATAAAAGGTGGTTCTCCACTGTCCCAAGTTGAATACTTACGT